AGCTATTCAGTTGGAAAAATTATAAAGTCAGTTAATGCCCTGAGGATAGCATAAACAAAGATGTTTTTGTTTTTTAACCTCTGAATAAGTTGCTGAGAGTTTTCTGAATAATAAATGAGTAGGAAATTTTCCAGCCAGCCTCTCTAGTGTAGTTGGTTGAAAAGCTGCAGATAAGTCCTTAGTGAATATTAGAACTGTGTGGGTCCAGAGGAGACTGTGAGAGGCAGTTTCTTATAACCCACTTAATTTGTCCCAGAAACTGGAATGCCAAATCAGCACCTACCAACCTGCCAAGCACACACCATGCAGGAAAACAGATCAGATGGTTAAATAGAGCAGTTTATAATGGGACAACATTTGGGTATTTGTTTTTAAAGTCACACACACACACACACAAACACACACACAGAAGAAGAAGAAATCTATGTAGCTTATTTCAGAATAGCTCAAATGTTTTTCTAGTCTATAGACTGAGGAACTCTATCCTGTAGGACTTCTCTAGTATAAAAAAGCATAAAATATGGATTTTGCCCTTGGAGAGGGTAATAGTTAAAATGAGGCTATATTTAAATCCCCCTTCTAAGCAAATTCCCACCTTTCTTGGCCCCATAAATAAAGCCAGTGTGACATGGCTGAATATTGGAAATCTTTTAATTTTTCATGAGGTTTAAAAAATATCCTATGTTTTATCACCAGTACCACTAACAGTTAAACTTTGTATCCCTTCAGTCAACTAGAAGAGAAGGCAGTTGTTTGTATCGTCCTCAACTGTGTTTTGCCCCCCAACTCTTTGGAAATTGCACAGGCTATTAATTTTACACACCAGTTATTTTTTTTTATTTAATAAACCAAATATGGAGAATTTGTGTATTGACTTTGCCTCTACAGTTGAACTACGTATGCACTATACAGTAACATCACAATAGAGAGACATTTCTCAGTGGGTTTAGCCTGCATGCAACTCTGATTGCCTTTAATTAGGGGAAAATCAAAAGCTCAGAGAATAACAGATTTGAAGTCAGTTAAAATCAGAGTAATCAACTTAGAAAAAAATCATCTCATATATCTTAATTTTTAACCATAGGGTAGTAGTTTAAGTATTGAATAACTTTTTCTGTCTCTTCATATTTCTCAAATTAGAGTACTAACATTGATAGAGTTGGCATGAGAGAACTGTCAGATCTCTGGCAAGTGAGAAGCTCCTCCCAGCTTCATAAAAGCCTAGGGGAAGAAAAAACTGAGAAAGCCACAGTTCTGCCTGAGAGTTATATTTGGATGGTCCTAATACAAGGGCTCTCTGATTGAGCATGGTCTCACAGTCAGGTAAGGGGAGGAAACCAGCTAGCCTTTTGGCTTCACTAGGAACAAGGAGATGATAATTTGGCACACTGCAACAAAGTGCTGGCAGTTTAAATTTTTTTTTCTCCCCAACCAGGCTTGTCTTTAAAAATAGGAAAATAGTGGGGCATGGTGGCACATGCCGGTAAACCAGGTGACTCAGGAGATGGAGACAGGTGGATTGCCAAGGTCAGCCTGGGCAACTTAGTAAGACCTGTCTCAAAATAAAAAAAAAAAAAATAACAAGGGCTGGAGATGCAGCTTAGTAGAAAAGCACCTCTGGATTCAATCTCCAGTACTAAAAAAAAAATTTTTTTAACTTAACAAAAAGGAAAACAGGCAGGCGCAACAGCGTGCACCTGTTGTTCCAGCTATTGGAGAGCCCCACCAAGACAGGAGGAGCTCTTAAGCCCAGGGATTCAAGATCAGCCTGGGAAGCATATTGAGACCTATGTCTTAAAAAAAGAAAAAAAGAAAAAAACGGGAAAACTTCAGGAGTATTATGAACCAAAAATAAAACATAGAATTTATTCTTCCCATGATTGGCTTTCATGAACTTTGAGAAATTAGAGGTGATTGCTTTCAGGATTTTTAAGCCTGTCTCATATGGAACTAAGGAAGAGGACAAACACATGTGAACAGACAACCTTTTTTCTTGGAGTGAAGACAGCCCTGGTTTTCATGATAGGACTATCCCAGAACAGTTGGGAGAAAAATGAAATACATGGAGTGCATGTTTGCCTGTATGAGCTTCAAGATGGTCAGAATTTTTAAAAAAATCTGCTCATTTCTATTCCACTAGAAAAATGGGATCCATTAGGACCAGGCTCTGGGATGTCACAGTGTGTATCAGCCACCAGAGTATGATGAGTATTCGTGACAAGGGAATTACTAATGTTTCCTATGATCATGAAGCAACGTGTGCAGTTAATTACTGTTGTCTGCGGCTGCTCTCACATCTTGAAACTCTCCATGACCCAACTGCAGAAATCCTGTTTGCCTGCTTCCCACCACCTCCTCCAAAGAATGAAAAGTAGCAAGTTGCAAGGCTGGGCTTGTTGGATGAATGTGATTGTTTTTGTGGAACCAGAGGTTGTGGAGGCTGTTGGCTTGTCATTAGATTTGTGAAATGACTTCATGGTCAGCATCTCCAGATGAGTTGCATGTGGAGGTGTGGATGTGTGCTAGATGAAAACCTGTCTGAATGTACTTCCTCTCTCTTTGTGTGTCCTGGATCATACAGTAGGTGAGGCCATCTTCCTGATTTCGTGCATGGGGCCAGAATCCCGTGGCCCTTGCCTGTCCAAGCCCAAGTCTTCTTGTAACTCTGTGGCCTAAGGCTTCTTCTTTTTCTTCCTTTTTTTTTTGTTTTGGCATTTTCCCCTGATATAAATAGCTAATTATCTAATACTCTATAATAAATATAATTTTCACCATTAATGTGTTCTCATTTCTTCACTTCCTAGAGCATTAAAAAGCAAACATCTTTCTTCTTTATAGTACACTTCTTTGTATTAAAGTGACTTCCCTTCTCTAGAGGATCTCCCTCACTCCCCTACTCTCCCTCTAGAACACACCAACAACTTGGCTAATCAAGATAGATTAGCATTAACTTTTTCATAGATCATGATAGGAAGTGATATCAATATAGGAATTGTCATGGATATTGTTTTTTAAGAATGACTATTTGAATATAATAGTTATTAGATTTTCTTTTAATTACAGCCAAAATAAACAAACCACAAAAGGCCTGAAAATAACTTGATTCTCTGGAGAAAGAAACACACTTCCTGGATAGTAATACTTTCTATCATTTAGACTTGATTGCCTGGTGGTGTCACCCAAACTAATTAATAATGACATATTAGTTAACATGTTGCCATCAGCAGGTGGCTATTGGAACAGGGGTGAAAACAGCATGTGCTAAAACAAATTGTACCTTAGAGAAAATGTGCAGTTGTTCTTTAACAGTCTTCATGATGGCCGGGCACAGTGGTGCATGCCTATCAACCCAGCAGCTTGAGAAGCTGAGGTAGGAGGATCACAAGTTTGAGGCCAGCCTTGGCAACTTAGTCAGACCTTCTAAGCAACTTAGCGAAACCCTGTTCCAAAGTACAATAAGTAAATTAAAAGATCTGAGGATGTAGCTCAGTGGTAACACAACCCTGGATTCAATCCCTAGTATTACAAAAAGTCTTCAGGATATTTGCAATATGATTAAAAAAAACATTTTTTAAGTTGTAAATGGACACAATAACTCCATTTATTTATTTATTCATTTATTTTTATGTGGTCCTAAGGGTCAAATCAAGGGTCTCAAACCTTCGAGGCTCTACCTTCGAGCTCTACTGAGCTATAGCCCCAGCTCTGCAGTATGATTTTTTAAAAAAATATTTTTAGTTGTAGATGGACGCTTATACCTTTTTTTTTCTTAATGTGGTGCCAAGACTCTAACGCAGTGCCTCACATGTTCTAGGCAAGTGCTCTACCACTGAGCTACATCCCCAGCCCACATCTGATTTATATTTACTTATTTTTGACATTGGTTAAGCCTCAAGAGATAAAAAATTGTTGTGATATTGGAGAGATAGAGACTAGGAGGGAAAAAGAAAAAAAAATGATTCCACCTTTTCCAATTTAAAAAAATGTTTCACTGAAGCAGCCTCAAAATCCTGGGAAAAATTCAGGCATCCTTTTTCTCTCTTTGTATTCTCCTTTTCTTTCTGTTCTTTGTCCATCCTGGATCTGTCAAGAGATTCTCAGCACATGGTGTGGCTATGACAGATGGGCAGTAAATAATCTGCTGCTGTCTTTCAGTTTCAGGGGATCATTGTGACAGTGAAGGGGTTAAAATGTCAACACCTATCAGAGCTTGCAGATAATTAGTGTAATATAAACCCGAGAACCTTGATGCTGATGACCACACAGCAAATGAATTCTACTAGCTTCCTGCTTTGTCAGAAATCCTTATTAATTTCTTTCTGACTTGTGTTACAGCTATGCTTTTTAAATGCCTGTGTGAAAAAATTATTGTTTATGCATATAAATGATTAAAGATGATTGTGAATCTTCCTTATCATAGACGATGCATTTTGAATTAGCACTTGCAGATACAAGTTGAATAGATAAGTACCCTTTGGCACTTGAACATGAGATGGGTAGCCTTTACGCTCAGGGAGGGTGTTGACTGTTGACTTTATTATTAAGGATGCAACGTGTAGTATTGAGTGATGTAGGAATGCAAACAATTACAAAGTAAATTTTAATCATACACTCTTTTTTATATAAAAAAAGAAGTAGACTTTTAAAAATAAAACAGATTTAGGCTGGGGTTGTGGCTTAGAGGTGGAGCACTCACCTAGAGCATGCAAGGCCCTGGGTTCGAACCTCAGCACCATATAAAAATAAATAAATAAAACAAAGGTGTATAAAAAAACAGATTTGAAAAGAATAAAATCCATTCTTCATTTATTATCTTGAAAGAAAAACTTGCTACATAAAAAATCAGAGATTCTCAAAGCTTTTTTTTTTTTTCCCAAAGTCCACCTGGTAACCCAAGAGGAACAAATATGGCTTAAAAACAGGAGCAGGAATCCCTGATGGACTAGGGGAAGAAGGGGTAAAGGAGAACTTCAGTAACCCAGATGTGTTCAAATCCGCAGGTCCCCATGGCTGGCATCCTAGAGTACTTAATGAATTGGCCGAAGTCGTCACAGAACCGCTAGATATCATTTTTGAGAACTCGTGGAGGACTGATGAGGTGCCTGAAGACTGGAAAAGGGCATATTTAGAATCTTCTTTCAAAAAGGGAAATGGATGGTGACCCTGGATATACTCATCAGCTTAACTTTTTGCTTGGAAAAATTCTGGAATAATCAACTTAGGAAACTGGGTAACTGACTTTTAAGAGCCAGAAATAAGGTAGTGAAATATCACAGATCAATTACTGAGTTCATTTTTTAAAAGAACACACCAGCATGAGACACAGTCTTATGCACACACTGGGATTTTCCCCTCCATTCTGTCAATTCTTCATAAAAATAGATGGTGTTAGTTAAGGCATTTGGGTAAAAATTATTTTAAGTGTAATACAAAAAGTAGGTTTCTAATCATAATCTTTAATTATATCACTTCTAACTTTAATCTTAAACAATAGGCTTAATTTGATATGTTAACATACACCTTCTTTCACTTCTTGTAGGACCCTCTTTTCACTAAGTTGTGATATTTCATAATTCTATATAGAATATATTGGTGAAGGAATTCTTATTTTAAGGTGCTTTATAGTTACTTAATAAGTACAGACGTAAAGCAAGTGAATTAAGGAACATAACCAAGGGAAGACAATTTCTTATGACTTCTCTTTTTAAATCTGTTCTGGCTGAGGTTAGATATTCAGATTAAAAAGAGTGTCATGCTCTGACATATATCGAGCAAGTGCCAATTGTTTTGCTTCGGGGACCCCTGAATTGCAGTGTCTTGGCCCACCTCCCTTCATGGGCCTGTGGGTCTGGGGACAGAGACAAGGCAGTGGGCACGAACAGCCCTGCAGGAGAGGAGGTTGAGGATCAGGGAAGAAATTAAGGTGAAGCTGGAGTTTTTATGATTCCTATTTTTTTTTCTTTGGGTGTTGGTAGTTTTATTTTCTACTTAGAAAATGCAAGCTTGTTGATGGGACCAAAACTTATTCAAAAGGAGGCTGTGGAAGAAGATAGAGTAGTGGCTGGGAACTGTCAAGATCCCCTAAGCAGTACCGTGTTCTTGCACTGTGTGGAAGTATACAAGAGAGATAAGTTTACATCAACATAGGACAAGAATAGGAAACTCTTGGAGGAAAAGAGATTTAATGTTCATCTCCTGGAGCATACTGATCCCCAGGAATAGATAGATAATTAAGAAGAGATTAGGTCTCCAAGGACACTCCTAACACAATACTATTTTTTAAAAAAAATATAAGGTCTAAATAGTTCAGCTACTTTTAGAGATTAATTTAGACACTAAGTAAAGGATGTCTCACTCTTAAGTACAAATAAAAGGATATTCTAAAAGTGTGTGTAGGTTGTCCTTTAAACTACACCTAGCTGTGGTTTTGTAAGGATTATATACCAGTCAGCCTTTCATCAATTTTTGAAGTAGAGTCTTTAAAATTTTCAAGCTGGGTTTAATTAAGGGGTGGGGAGTCTATATTGATTATTGATATAATTTATTGTGATAGTAAATGGCTTCCTGTTTCAGACCTCATTTCCAGGTGCAGCATCTGTGGCAGATTTATTTCACAGATGTGCATTTGCATGTAGCTCTTGGACTGTGGCTGCACAGGACTTGATTTCTGAAACGTCTATTATTTTCACTGTGGGCATTATGAAGCAGTCCCCTACAACCACCCAAGTCAAAAAAGGCTCTTGGTCATTTCAAGTTTGATTTTTTTTTTATTTGAGTAATGACTGACTTCAATTATTTTGCCAAAGTTAAATCCTTTCTCTGAGTCTGCTGTTGAAATTTGAAAATATTTAATACTCTACCTAAATTAAGAGTCACAGTTTAGAACCATGAAATAGCCAAGAGATTTTAAAGACTTCTTAGTTAAAGCTATAGGAAGAAAATTTTTAAATAATAAGAGAAATATTGAGGGACGCCTTCTTTGCATTAAATAATATGAGGTCTAATATAAGAGAAAGGAATTATTCTTACCAAAAATAGTATCTGGAGATGATTATTCTTAAGATGAATTCTTCATGTTTTTTATTCAGTTTATTTAAACACTAACGATCATTTTGAGTTTTGAGTGTAAAGGAAGTAGCAATTCACTAAGGAGAAAATATATTATCAAGACTAAAGGGCAATCTTGATTTATATTTTCTATAACACCAAGAGAGATTTAAGTACAGACTGTTTTTATCACATTGAGGAATTTGGAGGATTGTAACACATTGTTTTTTTTCGGTTCATCTTAAAATTTGAGGGGTATGAAAGATTTTATTCACATAAAAGATTTCTTGGCATAGGGATACATACCTTTAAGGGCTCTTTCCTCACCAGAGGGAGAGCTGAGCCAACAATCTTGGGAAAAACTGGATGTGTAGCAACAAAAGTAGTTTCTCCGTTCAGAGAACTCAGGCATTTTCTCGGTCCAGAGAAATCTCCTGCATGTTGCTGCTATGACGTGAACACAGGAGGCATTGAGTTTTCACTTTGGAGTTACTCAGATCTCAGTTCAGATTCTAGAGTTTACCTAATGGTGTTTTCCCATGATGAACCTGTTAAGAGCATAAGCTGTAGTGTAGCTTGGGAAAGGATCTTGAGTGGTGAGGACATTACTAAAGCTTCTTTTCCCTTGTTCATAAAATGGGAGAAATAAATACAGTGCCTCCTACAGTTCTTAAGAGGCTCAAGACCTCTACGACTTATACCCACTTGTAGCTCTTGGTCCAGGATTGGCATGAAATAGGTGCCGACTCCTGACTCCCTTTCCTTCCTGACTTTCTGTAATTTCCTCTTCTGTGGAACAGATTACTTTAAAACTGAGTAGAGAACTCAAGTGTAAATTGACATGCTCATCTGCTGCTGTAGCCCACAGCATAAAGATCTCTTTTGCTTTCTTTTTTGGAGACATGAAAAAAAGACTACTGTGTTTGCTCATGGTAGGAGTTCAGTAAATGTTTAGTGATTGAATGAAAAGAATATGATGTTTAAAAAACAATCCTCAGATTCACCAAGGCCAGCACTTTCAATTCTGGGGAAATAATCACATAGACACGTGAAGGGCTTTCATTACCTCGATGTTTCTTGTAGCATCTTCAGGTTTAAAAATTTGGAGTGTAAATAAATGAGTGGCAGATGTGCAGTTTCCAGTTTCCTCTGATTTTATGACTGGGGTTTATAAAGGAGGAGTGCAAATGGGCATCACCCCCAAAGCTTCTTCTGGGATGCACCCAGCCAAGAGATAAGGCTGATAATGGTGGATCAGCAAACCCTTCTCTATGGGAAGAGAAACCAGCTCAACCAGGGACTGGGAACTACCTGTCTGAGGACTGAGATCGGCATGTCTGAATTTTTCTATTACAAGGCTGAGTGCTGTAAATGGATCCCTGAATAAGAGACTGAAGAAGAACAAAAAGAGATTTAAGATAATAAAGTTCTTAGACAAAATATTTGACTTAAATAATCCCTTACATGTAATAATGAGGTATCAAAATATGTCCAGGGAGCTGGAAGATTTCAAAATTTCAAAGTAAATAAGTGATAAAGAATAGAATATTTTACCCAGGGACATGTGAGAAATGAGTGTGAACCTAATCCTAAATGACCAATTCTCAATTGCAACCAAGTGCCAGGTATCAGAAAATTCTTAAATAAGATTAACTGATGATAACTTAGAAAAAAAAACTGCATAGGTTCACACATAGATGCTTTACTAAATAAAAAAAAATTCAGAGCAAATCAAATTAAGCTTATTTTAGAATTTTCAAATTTTATTCTGATCTTTCCCAATATCCCCACATCAGACATTTACACTATTCGATTCTTTGATTTAAAACTCCTTTGCAGCTTTACCTTATTAATCTCTAATAAAATAAAATCAAATAATTTTCTAGTCCATGATTAGAAATATTTCTATATCACTCTTTTGGATGTTTCCATAAAAGGCAAAAGGGGAAAAGATGTAGTTTAGAAAAATGAACAGCCCTACTTTCTTTTTTTACTTATTGAATGAAAGTAAAACAGGAAAGTGATGTTTAAATAGTTTAAATTCTAGAGATGTTTTATTTTTCATTATTTTTGTTACAAGATACCTTTTTAGAGGAAAACAAGTAGTTAAAATCTCCACATTGAGAACTGGTGGTTGGTTTTTGTTTTATAGTTCTGCCCCCAGAATTTGTTCCACTGTACCAAAAGGAAATAAGGCAAATTTTAAACATTAATATGGGAAATGTTTTCTATAGATTATATTCAGTATCCTGCCCTTTTTTAGATGAATTTTCCTTATTATTCTACAAATGAAATGCTGTGTGGACAATCTCAAGGACAAACTGGTATATTGAGGGAGACAAATGTCAGACGTTTTCCTGTTTATCACAGTTGTGGCCCTGTTTCCTAAGCTTAAGAATATTCTGAGATGCAGTTTGGGTTACTAAAGCCATTATTCATTGAAAAGTTCTGGCTATACAGAAGTATCTGCGGGGCCGGAACAATCAACTTGTGTATATCTAAATAGCCAAGCACAGATTTGTTCTAATTGAAAGCTACCATTTGGTTTTATAAACACACTTTTTTTCTTCCCCTTTTCAGTTACATCTTTTTAAAGGGCTATATGTGAAGACTCCATGAGAAGCCTAATTGGAACGTCGTTATGAACCATGTAATGTAACCCGCACAGCTCTGTCATTTGCAAACATATGTCTACTTTTCAATAAATGTTATGGCTGCACAGCAGTTCTGCCTTGGCCTCTTTTGTGATCATTCTGCATTTTGATGAATGTGATCGTTTTTGCATCATTTAAATTGACAATGTATAAATGTTCATGGTATTACAGTATTATGGTCAGCATGGGAAATCAGAGCTCTAACTGGAAAGAAAGGAAAATGCAAGTCTCCACACACTGCATGCAGAATTCAGATAAGACCATCATACATATTGGGATGCTTTTGTCCTGTTGTGTGTGCTTCCTGTGGCCTTCTCTTGTGTGATTTTCTGCCGTCAGTGGCTCAGACAGTGGGAGGTGGGGTAGTGGGGTATATCGAGTGGTAGGAGGAGCTTGTGTGTGATCATGTGATTCTGCTGTGGCTTCTGCAGCACAGATTCCGCATCAGCTGAACAGATAAGCAGTATCTCAGCAGTGGTTAAAACCAGTCTTGGATTCAGATATCAACATAACTGCATTCTGGTTTGAGAGCCTTGAAAAAATGGAATAATGATTGTACTTGATCAGCATACTAACTAGCCCAAAGACATTTATCTGAAGAAGTTTTCAACAGTGCTTTGGGTTATATATAAATGTCATGATGTGCTGGGTCTTGATGGTTATCAATGACTCTTATTATTCCCACTGAATATGAGAAGAAAAATATATTTAAAGTGAGAAAGATGTAAAAATTTAAATTGTGGAAATGAAAAAAGACCTCAAGATTCACCACATCAGATTCAGAAACTGCACAGTTCAAACACTAAAAAAAATAGGAGTTTGTGACATCTCATATGACACACCAGGTTGGTGGCAGACAAGAAGTTTTCCCAGATCCTTTGCTACTGATTTTTTGTCCAACATAGATCTTAGAAAGTATACCTAAAGGGTTCCATGGCTTCTTTAAAAAAGACCCATCTTTCTAGATTGGACTTAGTTTGAACTTAGATCTGTGGTTTTAAGTCATAGCCTTGACACATTCACAAATCAAACCTCCATGAAACTCTGATTTTCTGCAGGGGCCAGCACCAGGGTACAGAACCCTGATCTTCCCTCTTTCTTCATGTCTTCTTTGATCTCATAGTACATGATATTGGTGAGTCGCACAAAAAATATCTTTTTATTTTTTTTATTTTTAGAAATAGGGAAATGCGGGGTTGTGGTTCAGTGGAGAGCACTCACCTAGCATGTGCAAGGCCCTGGGTTTGATCCTCAGCACCACATAAAAATAAATAAAATAAAGGTACTGTGTCCAACAACAACAACAACAACAATAACAACAAAAACATTTAAAAAAAGAGAAAGGGAAATGCAGCAGTAAAGCTCACAAATAAATGTTGAAGAATAAGATGGTCTTTATCATTAATAAAGTCACTTCACATAAGGCAGCTTTAAAAATGTCTTTCATCTGAATCTGGATAATGAAAACTTCTAGGCCCATTTCTGGGCCATCTGCTGCCCCACTAAAGGTTTTTAATTTAAAAGAGAAGTCTTGAACAATTGCAAGTGAAAAACTTAGCCCCAGCCCTACCAGAGTTACTCTGAGGACAGAATGCATTCATGTAACCATGGACACTTTTTTGGCTAGCTACTCTACTTTAAAATACCTTCGTGTACCAATAACAGGATGTCTGTGGAGTCTCATCTGTTTCTTGGTTGAAAAATAAGCACAGATCATGAACTGTATATATTCATTGTGTATTCTTTGACATCCCTTTTAGCTCAATCAGTGTAACTCCAACTTCATTTTGGAAGTTAATCTACATAAGAGAGTTCACAAAAGTAGACGTTTTGAGTGAAGAATATATACATTTAGTTTTATTTCAGATCTTTGCCTATAAATCAGAAGCCCTGAATCCGGTCTTGGTTTTCCTAGGGAGTAGAGCTGTCTAAGACACTTCCTTTTACACCTTCGGTCACCCATCTGTAAAAGTGCTCAGGGAGCAGGATTGCCAAACACGCCCTGCGGAAGGTCTGAGAAACAGATGGTATCTGAATAACCTCACGTTCTTTAGAAGGAAGTCACTAAATGACTTACTCTGCTTGTTTTTTTGCTGGTTTCCACCAGGCTGTGAGCACATCTGATTGTCCCCACTAGGTGCTTCCTCAGTTACTAGTATGTGTTTGTCACCTTGTAGGTGTTCCATAATATTGTTGAGTGAATGAAGGACCAAGTGAGCTTTCACCCATGCCTAAGGAAACTGAATCCTGAGGTTGTCTGAGCTGGTTCTACCAGGCATTGCCTATTTTGAGGGATGGTGGAGGAATGCTGTGGCTTTATGTCTGTAGGATAGCAATGCCTTCCACCCTCAACTCTGGGAAACAAAAGTTCTTCTTTATTAGAAGTTTACCTTGGGGCATGGTTTTGCTTTTACTTGGGTCTTCTGACATTCTTGTTTTGTATAATTTCTCAAGTAAAATTTTATATATTCAATGAGGTCTCCTTTTGCAGGAATGTATTAAACACTGTGGTTTGCAAGGGCATGTGCTTAGACTAACATGACACACTATTTGAATTAAGGTTTTCTTTCCATCATTTTTTCCTAGTCTGAATTGTGAGAGGATTGGCATCTATGCCTGCAAATTAAAACTAATAAGTACCAGCCTATCCCTGCAATTAGAGCTAATCAAACCCCTTAATTCTTTATCACATACATGTTAGCATATGGTATGCTGCTAGATAAACTGTAGAGACATTTTCAGAGTTGATTCTTCACACTGCGAACTTCCTTCCCAGCATTTTCACACACACCCCCTTGCAGATATGAATTTGGGACCCATGATTTTTGTTCTTGGAAATAAGAACAAAAGAAACCTTCCCTAAAGTTGTTTCTATCTTTTACCAGTAGGAAGGCAAAAAAGAGTGGAGTAGTTAGGAACGGTCCAGGGTTGTTCAGATGTGAGCTTGAGTCCCAATAAGCTGCTGAGAGGTAGAGTCCCTTGACCTAAAGAGGGGCCTGTAGCTCTGTGGTGATCGCAAACTGTGTCTCTGTTCTTTTTCTGATGTGCATGGAGTTTGTGGAAGGGAGGGAGAAACATTTCAGCTTTAGGGTCACAAAATTCTGGATACAAATCCCAGCTTCCCATGCTTGGCTGTGACTTATGCAAACTATTAAACCCTTTCCCATCTGCTCTATCACCTGGAAAATGAGGTAAATACCACCTCTTAAAATACCAGGTGTGATAACTGATAGAAGGCCTTATGTGTGAGGAACATAAGTTCTTTTTTTTAATTAAAAAAATTTGTTCTTTTTGTTTATAAATGGCAATAGAATATATTATGGCATAATTATAAAAACATATAATTTGCTCTAATTCAGTCCCCAGAATTTCCCCTCCCCTCCCTTCCTCCCACCCAGTTCCCTTCCCTCTACTCTATTGATCTTTCTGCTATTTTCATATAGTTTTTTTTTTTCTTTTTAAAACTAGTGTCATGTGATGTACATAGTGGTGAGGTTCACTGTGATGTGCTTTACTACATCAGCTAGGTGGTAGTGGAAGGGGTGGGAAAAGAGATTCGTGACTCATGAATGAAAATTGTTTTCAAGATATGTTAGTGAAAAAGCTTGCATTCCTGAATCAACTACGAAGCAACATTAAAAATACAGTGACCAGCACTTTTAAAAGAGCATTTAATATATGTCAGGACTACTCAAAGCACTTTACATGTATTAGTTCACTTAATCTTCACAACAACCTTATGAAATGATTTTGTTAATTTGCCCAAGGTCATAGAACCAATGACCAAGTAAGTGGAAATTTAAGGCTCAGCAGTTTCACTTTAAGCCTATCCTCTTAACCTTTATGTCTTCTAAGAGCCAAATGTAATAAAGTATCAAATATAAGGACCATATATCAAGCAATAAGACTGACAAATTACTGTAAAAAGAGGGGATGCTCTGGGGATCAGGACACCAGCTAAAAATATTGTTTTGGTCCATTTTGCATTACTATGAACACCAGAGAGCAATTTATAAAAAACCAAATTATTTTCTTATAGTTCTGATGGATGGGAAGTTCTAGCAGGGTACTGGCTGGTTTTGTTTTCTGATGAGGGCTTCATACGCTGGGGGAAAGAATGCTGTGGCCTTACGTGGCATAGGCAGAATTGGAAAGATCAAGTGCTGTATGAAGCCTCATTTAAGGGCCTTAGTCTCATTCACAAGGGAGCAACTCCTGTGACCCAGTCACGTCTTAAAGGCCTCATCTCTTAATACTAAACCACGGATAACATCTTAGCTTGGGAGGGGATACATCCAAACCATTGCATTCTGCTCTTGGCTTCTCAAAATTTGTGTCTTCTTTCCATGCAAAATGTCGTCACTCCATCCCAGAAGCCCCTATCCAAGATGCTGACTTGTTTCAGCGTGAACTCAAAAGTTTAAGTCCACAGTCTCATCCATCATCTTCATCAGATGTGGGTGAGACTCAAAGATGCATTTCATCTTGAGGCCAATTGCTCTGCAGCTCTGAACCTGTGCAATCAAACAAGTTATATGCTTCCTAAGTACAATGCTGCGGCAGGCATAGGGTGGACATTCCCATTCCAAAAGGAGCAATAAGAAAGAAGGAAGGAGTCACAAAGCAAGGCCAAAACGCAACAATGCAAACATCGAATCTTAAGGCTCCAGAATAATCTTCCTTATTCCATGTCCCACCATCTGAACACACCAATCCAGGAGTTGGTCTTCAAGGTTCAGACGACCCCACTGTCTTTAAGCCACAGTTCTCATGGGCTGGAGGCAGAAGCCTGAGGCTCTTACAGTCTGGCTTTGCATTCTGGGGGTCATACCTGTCCAAGAGTTCCCTAAACCTTGCCCTAGAGCAGCATGTCCTTTCCTAGGTCTCTGCCTGGGCCCCAAGGTGGTATTTTTTTGAAATCAGGGTGGTGGTAGCAGGGTCTCCACAGCCCATCCCTGCCTGCAGTATCCACCATGTGGATACCAGCAAGGCTTGCTGCATGTGCTTGCAGAATGCTGGCCCCAGTTGAACCCAAGTTCCTGCCACAGCTGGGGTAGCTACCGACTCCTG